CAGTGAGTCACACAATGCTAAATAACAGAGCTCATTCAGTGTGACATTTTTAAAGCATAATTTATCCTGAACTTGGGGGGAATTATCTTAATACAAAAGAACAATGATTTTAAGTATAAATGCAGAGGAAAGCTGTAAAAGCGTAGACGGCGAATGGAGAAAAAGCTTCTTGAAATAGCCTTGTGGTTTTCTGAGGGACATTCCTTTGTGGATATGAAGCATTATCTTCACCGACATCTGAAGTGTCCAAAGCCTTAAATGAGCCCAGTGTAAATCACTGAAATGATTCATGTGTAAGGTCATCATCAAACTCCGAAATGTTTGAGTAGGTAAAGAGTGGGCAGTTAATGATACCACTGGGTTCTTTGTGCTGCATGGGTGATGGCCATGGGGTGACAACGAGAAAAAAAAGAGAGGGAAAAGCAGGACGAGGAGGAGGAGGGGGAGGCCACAATGGTGAAGGAGGACATACGCAGCGGTCTGGAAGGGAGCAGGGACAAGGCAACAGAAAATGAGTACAGAAAAGAGAAGAAAGTCTGAAAGGTTTTCCATTCTCCCTTAATTTAGTCTGTGAATGTGCTTCCCCCCCCCTCCCTCAACTCTCCCCTGAGACTGTCCCACACAAACCACACAATCATCTGTTACTCTGATTCACCCGGAGATAAAGAGGTAGAGGGAGAACAAGAATTAAAGGGGAAGGAGAGGGGAAAGGAGCATTCACAAATACACATGTAGAACTTTTCCATGTCGACGCTGCTCTTCATCTCTTTACCCTCCGTGTGACTTCAAGGGCCTCATAGTGGACACAGTATTTACAGTGCAGTTATATGTGCAGTCGGTTGGCAATGTCAGGAATGTGATGAATCTGTATGGCAGGAATTAAACATCTCGCTGAAGATAAACTGTGCCAAGTGCAGTGCATCAAATAAAATGACAAAAGGGATGTGTCAGAGTACTAACACAACGTTTAGGAGATAAATGACCTCTGACATGTGTTTCTGCCCGATGTGCGTTACGTGTAAAGAGAGGAAGAGTGTGTGGAATAAGTAAATGGAGCACCTCTGTCTAATCTTGTCCAGTCAAGCTTATTACTGTCGCTGCGTGTGAGCACTGCTTCTCCACATATTTCACATCCTGCAGTGTTTCAACTTTCAAAAGAAACACGGATACGTTTCACTGAGACACTGATCTGCTGAATCGGCCTAAATGTCAGCCGCTCCGGGTGTCGAAGTCATACTGATCACATTTCTTTAACAAGTCCATGTACATTGCAAGAATTGACTTATTACCTCAACCACAGAAGGTTATGTTTTTACCTGTCTGTTGCTTGGTTTATCATCAGGACTGCACAAAAACTAAAAAACAGAGTTCCACAAAAGTCGGTGGAAGGATGGGACATGAAGGAAGAAATTGATAAGGACTGCATTTTGACATTTTGAAAAATTTCCCAGGTAATAGCTCATGGATTATGGGGGAACAGTTATCTATGAGTGTATGCAATTTGGTGCAGCTAGATAGAATTCAAGGGGACGATTGGTTTGTGCCTAGTTTCTAGTTTTTGTAGAATCCCTCACAGTTCAGTGATTTAAAACAAACCAATTCCTTTATGTTACAATGTTATTTAAAATACATTTTGAATGATTATTCATCTGCAGTATTGTTGAATTCAGTTACAAGGTACGTTGATGATTAAACCTTGAATCTTGTTCAGGCAAAGATTTATTGTGGTGAAATTGTTCTTATGTTAAATGACCCTGCAGGACATCGAAAGACTCATCAACACTTCAAGTACACAGGCTACCTAACTGATGTGTTTTGCTGTTAAACACCTGCTGGGGTCTGAACCCATTAACACCTCAGAGAATTTTTTTTTCTTCTTATGTGAGGCTCATTCAAAAACAATATCACCAACAATAATGGTAAAATCCACTGTAATATTGATAACACACCGAATCTAAGCTGTCTTCCTATTCTGCTAATACATTTAATCGAACGATTTCGATCACTCGTTTTGCTGTTTGCGTTTCCTCTGAGCAGTTTTTATGATTGAAAGCTGAATGTTCGGGGCTACACTTGAATGTGTGAATGTGAATTCTTTCTCGTTTGTGGTGAGCTTTTTTGGAGCAGACTGGGGCATTTCTCTTATGGCAGACTCAGCTATGTGTGGTTGTGGTTTCCACGGAGTCTTTACTTAGGAACTGTCAGTTTGTTTTATTAGGCTCCTGCTTACACTGAAGCGCTGTCTTTTTACTGACAAAATGCTGCACTATAATCCGACAATAACGTGCATTTGGCTTTAAAGCTGTTCGATAACCATCTCTTTGAGTCTTTGTATACAGTTTTCATGATTCATGTAGCCTGCTCTATACCCATGGTTACAGATGGATCAAGAATCAAAGAAACAGGGAGATAATATATGCCTCATGAGTGCCAGCTGACTTCCCCCCTCTCTCCGATTTTCAATAAGGACAGCCCCTATCTAAACATAGCCCCCCGTCACACATACATCTGAACCTGTAAAAGTGATTTTGCTGAAGCATTAACTGTGTTGGCATCGTGTGGGAACAGAAGCCACAGTCAATTTTCCATGACAGTTACTTGGAAAATGTGCCAACTCGGGATCCAGTAAGTATTAGTTATAAATCTCCATCCACAGCTGTGGTGTCAACATAAACATGCAAAAAGATGCAGCATTTATAAGCAACAAGATAATATTATCTTTGATGTGACAGAGAAACGGTTGAAAGACAGAGACACGACGCCATCAACAATTTATTAATGTATTTGTTCGTTTTTACGCACTTACTTTTAATACCATCTCTTCCCCACATCTGTTTTTGTCTATAAATTCTTTTGGCTAATGGTTTATCTGTGTCTTCGAGTGCCTTTAAAGGTCCCATGTCTCACACATTTGCAGTGTTTTATTCAAAAGTTGATATCCCGAAGATATATTTGTGGTTTTAAGTTTTAAAAAAACTCTCACTCTCCTCTCTCATGTTTCTCTCTAGAGCTCAAACAAGAACATTGTGTGTTGAGGCCAGCCAGGGGAGCGTGCATGGTCACAGAGTCCAAGATCAACGGGGACATCAGGGAGGTGAGTGATCGGGCAGCTGGTAGAGCAAGATGGGAACACGGTGAGTGGATTACCAGGAGAAGGGAGTTGTCTACCTTTCCGTCACTGCCAGACCATATGTTGATTTGAATGGGACTGCAGATGAGAGACTATAGCGGCAACATCAAGGCGAGGTAAACTCTACCAGTTGCAGCAGCAATAGACTCCAGGCAATGGATACCATCACTAAACTGAGAGAGAGCAAGTTTACAGTCCTCACTCAGCCAAAATAATAATGGTTTTAAACGGACTCATAAAACAATGTGAAGCAAAATGATTAGCTTAGCGTAGGAAGCACAGAAAAGGAGTGACTGATGTCGTTTTCCACATTTCTCTTTGGATTAAGAACTTTGAACTCTCACATAATGTATATATTGACCCTAGACAGACAAGGAAATCTGATAATACGGGACTTTTAAAAGTTCTGTATAAATAAAAAGAGCTATCATTCTTTATATTATTCTTATATAACAAATCACATAAACATAAACAGCTGTGGTAGAGCTACTTATTACATTTTTAAGTGTAGTCTGAAATCAGGGAATTCATTATCTTGATTGTTTAAAGTTTTCTTGTTCCATTTTAAGTAATAAAAAAAACCTTGCCTCTTGTTTGACAAAAAGTGACATTCAAAATTTAAGGCTTGTATTATTTTATTACTGAGAAGGCAAAAAGGCTTGAGGAATCTATTGGAGGGGAAAGCAGGTTCTTATGCTGCAGTGCATTGTCTTTGACTAAAAGCTGAGATGTAAATAATCCTGCTTTATTACTGTAGCTTAAAAGCCAAGAGACAGAAAGTTAGCTGAAGAGGGAAAACACCTGCATCTAAAAGAAATGGTTGCATCTAGCTAGTTATATAGCCTGCTAAAGGATGTTGGCAAGTGCACTTGTTTCAAAGCAACAAATTGTTATCCAACAAGTGCATGTATTGTTGGTTACAGCCGTTTGAATGTTTGAATGTTTTTATCCAGAAAGTTTCCAATAGAATTGGCAGCATTAGCCTGAACTCTTAAATAATCTGCTTAAATAATCATTATTTCCTCATACAGCTGTAAAATGCATGAAGATATCATCAGTCATCCTCCTGTGTCTCTGTTAACAGTTTAAGTGGTCTTCCACATTCATTTATAATTAATGCACGGACGCCGTACAGTCAGCAATGCGGAAATTGAGAAAATGGACTTTAAAGCTACGTCAAACTTGAAATATTACAACAAAACTAAGAAGCCACAAGATGTAAAGGATTAGAAGTAGAAGAAGGAGGAGAAAACAGGAAGGATTTGTGATTTCCACAAACAGATAAGGAAAAGTGGCTTCACATCCGACTGCACATTTCGCTTTTCCCCTTTCTCATGACAAACCATTATTCTGCTCCACATGTGACTCACATGCAAGTGAGCCTTTTGACATATATTGTCTTTCAAGAAATGACATCTTGCTCCATTCACTGCTCGGAGCACAAACACATGACTCAATTAGTTGCTATAGTTGCTGAAAATGTGTAACATGGAATCCGTGCAGTAAGTGTCTTACCGAAGGCATGTTTATGCATGATGGGTTTTTTGGATATGGTGCAATGTCACGGCTCAACTACTTCGTATTATCGTATATAGGCCTATTTATTCATTATGCACAGCATCAAATGTAATGAATAATAACACTTAGAAGTGAATGCAAACATCAACAAAAATGGAAAGAAATTCTCACCAAAACATCCAAGTACAGCAAAAGTACCATTAGACAATAATAACCACATACAGAACTAAACTTCGACAATATTTCAATTACTCAAGTTGACAGGCACCCACACACAAACAGAAAAAAAACTTCTACATGATTAAACTTTGCACAGACACACAGAAAGTAAAAAATATTCAATGGTACTTACTGTTAAGCATTGCATATTCTCAGGGCGATTGGTCTCGGGGGCAGCACCATGGTTTGACAGCACAGCGTCTGAAATGTAGACAAAGGAATCACGGGCTGAGACAGTGCCTTTGGAGCACATTTCTCCCTGTGCCAACGCAAAACAGTTTTCTTGATGCACAAAGAGAAAATCCCCAAATTGTTCTGAGAGTCCATAAAAAGTGATTCAGAAAGATAACAGCAAGCAATTATGGCAACAGTTGCACGGAGCAGCCTTTGCTGGGCTGGTGTTCAAACTTAAGAGTGCACATAAAAGGCAAAAAACAGGCCAGCCGAGTCAAGGAAAATCCCGTAAGATGTGAGGATCCAACAAACTGCCCAAGAGAGGAGTGGAAGTGAGAACAAGTGAGAAGGAGGGAGGGAGGGAGGGGTGAAGAAGAGAAAAGGAACTCCTCTCTCACTCTATTATCTGTCCGTCACAGGGCTCCTGGGAAGTTGCTATGGTTACAGGGACTCACGCCTCAGTGTCCTTTTAACTATTGCTCATAAAGGCAGCATTCAGCTTTGGGCTACAATGCAGATCTCCCGGTCTCCTTCTTACTGCATTCCCTTCTGTTTTCAACGGGTTTACATCCGTCACTTTATGGTATATCTTATTTTTTTCCACTTTCTACATTTCCTCTGTCTGCACAACTTTCCAAGGAGCAAACCAAAGCATTCCCTCTCCACAAGCACCATCCTCCTGGTGTTAGTATCCGTCCTCTTTCTGTACTCCCTCTCCAACCCATACCTCCATGACCAAACTATGGAAATGATTCGACCCCAGAATGTGAAATGTTATTTTCCAAACTTCCAAACCAAAATCCCAGCCCCAACATGAGTGAAAGGATGTAAGTGGATCATCAACCTTCTATGAGCCTTGCAAAAAATTTGAATAATAACATTATATACACACAAATACCTTGAAATGTGTGCTCAAGTAGATTTAGATGTTAAAAATACATTACAGCACTGCATTATAGTTTCACATATATGGTTTAAATTGAAATTGGTGCAACACTTTTGTTGTTTTACGGATGACTGAAGCTAACTGAAGCTTTGAGAGGTCTTAGAAATCCAGTTATTCTTGTAACTACAAGTCACAATAAAAGTACACAGGACTACACAAAGCTTGGCAGTAGAACATGTATTTTGTCCCACCAAGAAAAACAACAGCATTGGTCATTTTGCCAATGGCCAAAAATGACCAGCAGCTGTAGTAATTCTGATCTTGACGGGAACAAAGTGGATAAGTTACAATTCATTTTAATCCTTAACTCAACCAAATGAGTCTGTGAACCTAAAAAAGACTCCATGTACACATCAAATAAAAATAAAAAATGTTTTAAATCATAGATAAACTCTATGAATTTTATAATTATTAATGTCTGATAGTATTTGATTTCCTATGAATAGTAATGTTAAATTTAAGATGTCTTCTACATCACTCAACGGTAACACGACAGTATGAGCAAGCACGCAGCAAATAGTCCTGCAAATAGTGCTGCACACAAGTTAGAGACCTCTTATGTTATTATGACAGTATTGGTTCAATATGAAACCGTGTCGGGACAAAATGGTGCCACCTTGGTCTAGATAGTTAATGGGAAACACTGTAAAAGCTAGAAGTTATAATTTTCAACATATTTGCATCATTCAGTATAGAACAAGCAAAAAACCTTAAGAGTTTAAAATGTATCTGTAGTCCACAAGTAGATTAGAAACTTAAGAACGTATATCTAGATTTTGGAGACAGTTTCTACTTTCCTAACCCTAAAGTTTAACCCCAGAGTTTAATCCCAGAGGGAAAAAAAGGCCCAATCCTATAGTTGCGGTTGCCATCGTAACCGTGGGGCTTTTAAAAAAAGAGATTCTGTCACTCAAGAATCTGAAGCCTCCAGGGGTCCAGCAAAAGAGAGGGGCTAACCTGGCTGGCTTCAAGCCCAGGAGAGGAGCCTTTTGTCTGGCTAAGACACCGGGAACATGGGGCATATGAGGGGAGAGAGACGTGAAGCAGCTGGCAATGAGTAACATCCAGAATGACTGACGTAAAAATGAGGGAAAATAAAGAGGAACAATAGGAGAGGGAAATAGCAGACAGTGGGAAAAGTATACACAAGAGAAACACGGAATTGGGGGGAAAAAAGCAATGTAGTCAGAAAAAAGGGAATAAGAAAGAGAGGAACTTAAAGAAAGGCAGACAATGAAGTCAGATGGGGTGTGGGGCGGAAATTAAGACGTGCAAAAGGCGAGAGGAAAGAAATAGAAAGGTTCTGGCAGTCTCAATCAGCCAGTCTCAGATCTGCCAGAACATTAATAGTCCTTGACTCTGCCCAAATCCAACATTGCCCCTCTCACTTGACACTCACTCCCCCTTTTCACCTCCTGTCACCAACAAACAAATAAACACTTGATGTAGCGAGTGGCAAAACCAAGACTTCCTCCGCTTCAATTTACTGAGTCTCTTAAGATCACCTCAAGTATCAGGAGAGGATTGTGTAAACACAACAGAGAAAGAAATTGTAATGGACCGGCAGTACATATCAATATATCAACCGTATACAAGTGATGGAAATATCCAGAGAAAAATTGATGTTGACAATTGGGACAAAAATGTCTCACTGATCAATGTTTCTTTAGGCTAATAGTTATCAATGTTGTTTTTTTGTATGCTTTAGTGTCCTAATTATAATTCCAGGATACATTGGTACAGCAGAGAGCTCATGAGGGTTCCTTTTGATATATCGATGAACCCAATTACACTCAAGTCGCGGGTCCTTTTTCAAACTCTCCAGCCTTGCAGCTCTTTTTGGTGAAAACATCAGTAAATCTGAAGCTCATCACCGGGCTGAAAGAGCTTTTGTTGGTCACTGGACAAATTGATCCTTCAGATGAGGGAAACGATGTGGAGTGTGTGCAGCAGCCGAAAACCTTTGGATTCAGTTCAGTTCTTTTATTTGTTCTCTTTCATGAGGTTGTTCATTATTGTGCACAGTGTTACAGCTATAATTTGTGCCCTAACTGTGATGTGGCCTGAAACGCTGTCTGCTTTTGTACACACATCCTTTACTGCAATCCTATAAATTAGAAATTAGTTTAACTGAGTTTCACATGACTGCTTGATCAACATGCACACAAAATACTAAACATCTATCCTAAGTCTATGGGAATCATCTTCATCCTTCAGTAGTCCAACAAAAGATTGGAGTGATTTTCTTTTTTAATCAAACATCAGATGTAAAATATGTCCCATTTTACATCTAATACTGGATAATCCACTAAATCCACCAGACCAACCGGTCATCAGTTGCGATAAAACCATCAGTGAGCCATTTTTCAAGATTTGTTGACATGTTTATTAAAACTAAAGCTGCCAATTTTCCATATCTGGGCCAAAGGTCATGCATAAAACAGCTGGGCTGACTGAGAGGCACTGGGGATGCTGATCTTTTCACAATGATAACTGAGCAACTAGCAAGAGTGTCACCCAGGGTCACATGCATACAAGTGATTTAATTTAATGACCACAAGCGTATACCTCTACCAAGGCTAATGCTCTATTTCGCCATGTCAAAGAAAATTTACAGGATCTGCTACATAATTTAACGGGCTCTTCCTTGGGACATGCCCCACTCCAGCACAAACTATTAAGGAAATCAGTTGCAGTTTTGGTGTAATTATGCTAATTAACAAACAAACAGACAAACAAAAGCAGATGAAAACTGTAGATTCAGATCCACTGCTCAATTCAAAAGGTTTTTCTTTGGGTGATGCCCCAGCACTCCACAATAATTTCATGGAAATCAGTTTGCATAATCCTGGCAACAAATAAAAAACTAAAGCAGACAAAAACAGAACTTCCCTTGCAGAGGTAATTAAACTTTTCAAACTCAGTTGGCAGATGTGTAGATATCATCAATAAAAATGAATAAGCAGTAGTTAGATGTTACTAGAGTTACTTTCGATATTATAAGGTGTTCCTATATTAATTTATTTTGTCAACCCCTTAGATGTCATGCAAAGAAGAGAGCAAAGGTAGGACATGCATGCATATTGTAATACAAACTTGAAAATGGATGAACAGGTAATTTATAATACATCTTCACTACACGCAGTTTGATCCATTACATTTCATTTGGCTGATGTTTTTATCCAAAGCGATTACAATAAGTGCATCAAGCATGACGGAAAAAACCCAGAACAACAAGAATCAAGTAAGTACAATTTGCTGATCCCTGAGAGGATTGTATTTTGAAATGCTTGAGTTCTCTGCACCTAAAGCTGAGTGCATTTCAAACATGACACAATAGTAAATATTGAGCATGAGAGATATTTGTGCCTGACCTGTGCAGCCACTGAGTAACTGAGTCATTTACACCACGATAACATATGGAACAAGACAATTACTGTTAAATAACGGACAGATGAATGTTAAGCACTGTTAGTGACAGACACGTTTCAGTTCCTGTTTCTGTCTAGAGCAAAGCAGAAGAGCCAGAATGGATTATGTCTGCAGTGTCAATGTTTTGTAGATTGCCCCTGACGGGGATTTGTTCAAAGGATTTGAGGTGAACGAAATATTCAGAGAGTGGAATGGGATTTCAGATCATAGGCTGAATGATAACACCAAAATGGCGTTTGAAAGTAGAAAGCAGAGTAAAGCTTAGTTTGTCTCATAACACAGTATCTATCACGCAGTTATTCTAAACTAAGAGAGCAGGGAATCACCAACAAGATCATAAATATTACTACACATGAATTCCCCCCGAGTCCCTTCTGTTGTCTTAAGTAAACAGTGTTTTACACACGACATGTTTATGGCGACGCTGACAATTAAGAGCATTAAAAAAGCTGCTGTTGTATCGTCGTTGCAAAAGCAAAACCTGAAATAATTTTTTCTGAATATTGACTGAACTTAACGCTGTTATACTCCTTCATGCATGTTCTCTGTGAGAACTGTGTGTCACTCACACAGAACTGTCAGTGTGTACTGCAACACGTGCTATAAATATCTGCAGAGCAGGATGGGAATATGCTTGGTATCAACATGA